GGGCTCCGGCGGGGAGGCCTCGGGCTGGGAGACGCCCGAGCGGAGAGCTCCGCGCGTCCGCCGAAGCGCCCGCCCAGGGCTGTTGGAGGGAAAAGTAGTAATAATAAACCTCTGTTGTTTTGAGCTGTTACGTGTTTGAGTCTTCTTGTTATAGCAGCTCTGCCTGTGCTGCCTAATACCAATGAGAACAGTGACCTAGCAGTCAACTTTGGGAGACATTTTCTAAATGACTTGAATTGACATCCGTAACAGTGAGGAAACAGAAGGTGCCTTGGATTCGTTCATTCATTCATTGATTCAGTAAGAAGGTATTAAGTGCCTGTCTGTGCCAGGCACTGGTACATAAGAGACGCAGAGATGAAGGAGGGGCGGGTCCCTGCCTTCAAACACTCTAAGTCTGGCAGCTCAACTTACTGGCTCTCACCTGCACCTGCTTTCCCTCTACCTAAAAATTTACTCTCCTCTCCCAACACACAGCCTAATTTCTGCACATTCTTAAGCCACCCAGCTAAGCCATGTCCAACCTCCTGACCCACAGAAACTGAAATAGGCAGACAATCCAATTAAAAAATGTGAATAGACGCCTCTCAAAGAGGCCATACAGATGACCAATAGAAAATTTAAAAAAAAAGGGGGGGGAGGAAGCTGCCCAGTGATGCAGATGCTGCCGGTTGGTTCTGGACAACACTGATGTAGACATCTCCAGGGTTCCCATCACCCAGCAGCCCCTGCTTAGCTGATGGGCGTAATTACAAGCGAGTGTCAAGTAACCCCCATCTTCCAGCCACAGCTGACTGGCTCAGGGATGGACATCTGACCCAAGCTGGCCCATCAGAGTCTCCTGGGAACTGAGCCTGGAATGTTAGACCAGCTGTGAGGCCTGTTGTCTGGGCTGCGGCCATCACTGTGGGCTCATGACTGTGAAGGTGGTGAAAGTCAGTCTGCAGGGAGAGAGGCAGGAAGGAGCAGCGTTCCTGTCTCTCTCTGCTCTTCCTGTCCCAGCCCTCCCAACTCACCCCCCCACCCCCGAGAAAATCTCCCTTCACTTGTAATGTGTCATCCCTCTGGATGCCACTGAGTGGTCACTGGTTTTCTTAATGAACATTTAAGTTGTTTTGAAGTTTTCTACTATTAAAATCAGTGCTCTTTCCTCACATGCTTTGCACACGTCCAGTTGTTTATTTTCTTGGATAAATCTTTAGCAGTGGATTCTTACCAGGAAGGTACCAAAAACATATGAAGTTATATTTTCCTATAGTGTGAAAGCATGCACTGGTTGATTGGTTTTTACCTAAATTTCTGTTCCTCAGAATATATCATAAAATTTGACGGTCCCTGAATGGAAAGTTCTGCCATTTGCTGAGCTCGACTCAGCTCAAATCCTTCAGTCTCAGAGTTAGAAGAAACCCTTGCAATCATCAGGGCCAACCCCGTGCCCGCAGTGCAGCTCTGCCTTTCCAAGCGTCCCTGCTGGGCTACTCAGGCCCCCCTGGAAGACCTCCCTTGACCTGGCGGGAACCGCCCCCGGTCAGCCCCCCGCTGTCCATTGCAGGAGGCCTCCTGCTTGCCTCCCTCACTGTTCGCTGACTGGCTCGGGCCTCTCCTCTGGGAGTCACAGAAACATCATCTGTCTCCTGAGACAGCTTCTCAGATGTCTCACTTGGTGACCTTTATGAAAAATTGTTTTCTTATTGTGGTAAAAAGAAAAGTGTAACAACATTTACCATCTTTAACCATTTCTAAGGTGTATATATAGTTCAGTAGTGTTACTATATTCACATTATTGGACCACCAATCTCCAGAACTTTTTTTTTTAATATGTCTTTATTGATTTCAGAGAGAGAGAGGGAGAGAAAGAGAGAGAAACATCAGTGATGAGCCATCAATTGGCTGCCTTCTGCATGCCCGCTACTGGGGGTCGAGTCCACAACCTGGGCATGTGCCCTGAAGGGGAATCAAACTTCCATGTCCTGCATCATAGGTAGATGCTCAACCGCTGAGCCGCGCCAGCTAGGCTCTCCAGAACTTTTTAATCTTGCAAAACTGAAACTCTATACCCATTAATTAACTTCACTTAGTAGCCTTTTGAAGCTCAAGTGGAAAGTGGGATTCTGAAAAGGCAAAATTCCCAACGAATTATAATATCTCGTTTGACACCCGAGTCACTTTCCAGCTGAGAAATGAGAAACAGATTCCTTCCCATGTACAAGTACGTGACATTTTGACATAGCTTTAAAAATAAACCATTAAACGCTCAGCTGGTTGTTGTTGTTATTATTATTATTATTACTACTACTACTACTACTACTACTACTACTACTACTACTACCACCACCACCACCAGGTGATACACAGAATTGATATTCTTACCCCCATCCCTGGCAATGGGATTGAAGAGGGTAGGAAGTGGCCGGCACCAATGAGCAAAGGTCAGGTGCTCTCGGGGAGGACAGCGCTGTCGTTGTGCGTATTGCCCACGAGGTGGTGCCTACACTTAGAAAACCGCCGCATTAGCCAGGTTCTCCAGGCTGCGTGGGAAGCTCCTAGTGTCCTTTCTTCAGCCAAAAGTGGAAGCGTTTCCTCTTGGGCACTGGGCAGGGCTAAAGGCAGAAAGAGCAGCTTCACACCCAATACTCCTGTGACTGTCCCACACCCAAATACCTAGAGAGATTAGGTGGTTCATAACCCGAGAACTTTGTTTCTGCTTCAGACAACTTCTTAAGGTTCTGATGGGTTCCTGCCACTGAAAGCACAAGATTAACAAGTGCCTAGCATGTCAAACCAGCATTGGAGCCATTTCTTTATAGCTAGCATTTCCTTTGTATTCATCAGCTTAAAGAGTGGGTTCTCTTAAAATTACAGTGAGTCTGATTCACAGAGCTCGGGTGCCCGAAACACTCCAGTTCACTCCTAACAGGTGCTTGGCAACACTGGAGTGCTAAAATGTTGGCGATAGCTCCGGAGGGGACTCTCCAGACTCTGTGTCCCCCTCCTTCAGGCAAAAGCCCCAATTTGGGGGTTGGAGGGCATCTATCCCTTATTCTCACCACATCTCCTCCCTCTGGCCACTGTGGGGTTAGGGGTGGGATGCCACATCGACTGGACCAATCAGCATGAACCTCAAGGTCTTTGCCTGAAACAGCAAAAAGGAGCTTTCTCCCAGCCAGTGGACTTGAGCCTGCAGGGTGCGAGGCTAGAGCTCTCAAGGGCAGTTGGCTCTTCTAAGGATCCAGACCCGCCAAACAAAGTGGATGGGTATGGCCTGAAAATGAAGCCCACGTGACAGAGGTAGAACCAACAGGTGGAAACTTTTTGAACCTCTGAACCAAACCATGGCCAAAGCCAAGATCCCAGGATTTTGGAATATGGGAGCCTTTTTTTTTTTTTTAACACTGGTTTGAATTTTGTTTCCCGACACTTACAACTAAAATATTCTTAAATGATACACTATCGATCTATAAATATATATATATTTTAAAAAGCACACAACCCATCCCAGAAGTAATCTCACCCTACATCATGGGATTTTGGATTAGCTTGGTGGTAAGGTTAGTCATGGGAAAGGCATCACCCTAAATCTTGAGGAAAGAGACATTCTCTTTAGCTTAGAGAATATATTGAAGTAAAGGTTGCAAGTACCGTGAGGGCAGGGACAGCCATTTCAGCTGACCAGTCTGTCCCTGGTGCCACGGCACACCCCAGCTTGCAAGGCACCACCCTAAGCCTAGAAGGAGGCCACACAGCAGGACGGAAGAACAGGGAGTTCAGAGCTTTGCCCTTTGCCACATTGTTGTTGGTTATCATCAAAGCTAAAATACAGATTTGGTTTTATTGGCAGTGAACCTCACTGTATCTCGAAGCGACATGAACTGGACTACCCTGTTGTTATCAGCTGGTCAACAAAATCATCTCCTCCCAGACCCACTGATTTCAGGTATGAACAGTTGCAGAATAATTAGATTTGTTTGCATATGAATATATAATCTAAATATCTTATTATTTTAAATTTAGCAACACTGTTTTGCTTTCATCATTTTCATAATGCCTTCTGTTTATGGCAGTTAAATGCTATTTTTTAATACACGTCAAAAAGGTGTTTTTAAAAATTTTTTATCTGAATACGAGTTGATTTTAAGAAAATAAGTAAACAATAGTACAGGTATATGCCTATATGACAAAAAGCGTGACATGCTATCCAGATAAGTCAAATTATTCTTTAGTGGACTGGGGTCATTTATATCAAGATGTGGCTTAGCTTGAGTGAAATGAGGCCAGGGGTCAACCAATGAGCCTCATTACTTGGCTGACACTGTCTGCAAAAATTGCACAGAAGGTGTTCCTTTTTCTTAAGAGAGGGTCAAACTTTCCCTCAAATCCTTAGAGGAATCTGTGACCCAAACGTGATCACTAACTTCACAAACTACTACCACGATTCAACTCTTTTTGCCCCAATTCCATTGCTCGCCAAGGAATCTTCTGATTCCTGGCTTACTAATAGTACAGATTTTGCCAGGGCCCTCGACTAGAGGAAGGCAGTGTTCTGGACAGGAGATCCAAAAGGTCTGGTTATAGGAAATACAGACCTTGCTTGAAATGAGTACCCTGACAACTGGTTCCCAAATCAGTCTCATGAAACTGGTCCAGCATACATCTGTCTCATTGGATCTGATCAGGCTTTTCCGCTTGAGAACCAGCCTCGGACGAGAAGTGTCTCTTTCCTGGTTGGCCTCCCCCTCTC